CCAAATTGGGCATTAGCAGCCATTTTCCCTCCCCGGTGTCATGTGACTCATTAGTGTTACAAGGTCTCAGGTGTGAATGGGAAACAGGTGTGTTAAATTTGGTGTTATCACTCTCACCCTCTCATACTGGTCACTGGAAGTTCAACAAGGCACCTCATGGCAAAGAACTGAGGATATGAAAAAAAGAATTGTTGCTCTACATAAAGATGGCCTAGGCTATAAGAAGATTGCCAAGACCCTGAAACTGAGCGGCAGCACGGTGGCCAAGACCATACAGCGGTTTAACAGGACAGGTTCCACTCAGAACAGGCCTCGCCATGGTCGACCAAAGAAGTTGAGTGCACGTGCTCAGCGTCATATCCAGAGGTTGGCTTTGGGAAATAGACGTATGAGTGCTGCCAGCATTGCTGCAGAAGTTGAAGGGGTGGAGTCAGCCTGTCAGTGCTCAGACCATATGCCGCACATTGCATCAAACTGGTCTGCAGGGCTGTCGTCCCAAAAGGAAGCCTCTTCTAAAGATGATGCACAAGAAAGCCCACAAACAGTTTGCTGAAGACAAGCAGACTAAGGACATGGATTACTGGAACCATGTCCTGTGGTCTGATGAGACCAAGATAAACTAATTTGGCTCAGATGGTGTCAAGCGTGTGTGGTGACAACCAGGTGAGGAGTACAAAGACAAGTGTGTCTTGCCTACGGTCCAGCATGGTGGTGGGAGTGTCATGGTCTGGGGCTACATGAGTGCTGCCGGCACTGGGGAGCTACAGTTCATTGAGGGAAACTTGAATGCCAACATGTACTGTGATATACTGAAGCAGAGCATGATCCCCTCCCTTTGGAGACTGGGCCACAGGGCAGTATTCCAACATGATAACGACCCCAAACACACCTCCAAGACAACCACTGCCTTGCTAAAGAAGCTGAGGGTAAAGGTGATGGACTGGCCAAGCATGTCTCCAGACCTAAACCCTATCGAGCATCCGTGGGGCATCCTGAAACGGAAGGTGGAAGAGCACAAGGTCTCTAACATCCACCAGCTCTGTGATGTCGTCATGGAGGAGTGGAAGAGGAGTCCAGTGGCAACCTGTGAAGCTCTGGTGAACTCCATGCCTAAGAGGGTTAAGGCAGTGCTGGAAAATAATGGTGGCCACACAAAATATTGACACTTTGGGCCCAATTTGGACAGTTTCACTTAGGGGTGTACTCACTTTTGTTGCCAGCGGTTTAGACATTAATGGCTGTGTGTTGAGTTATTTTGAGGGGACAGCAAATTTACACTGTTATACAAGCTGTATACTCACTACTTTACATTGTAGCAAAGTGTCATTTCTTCAGTGTTGTCACATGAAAAGATATAATATTTACAAAATGTGAGGGGTGTACTCACTTCTGTGATATACTGTATCTTCTACAGAGCTAATATGTGATTATAGATTTGTTGATATTATTCACAGTAAAACATGCATTGCCCCAAAACAGAATGCTCTAAAGGAAGCATAACTAAACCCTAAGCTTTTCTAATAGTTCTAAAATCACATCTATGCAAATGGTTGCAGATTAAATGCAAGAAACAAATGGTAGGAGAGAATATCTTGGCCCAAATCCAGAGAAAGATAGTCATGTTTATGTCAGTAAGAAAAGTTCTGACTAATATATATCCCATTAATTACACCTGGATTTTAGTTATGAAATTTCTTTTGATTGTGACTTTTGACTTTTGAAATGTAGTACTTTTCCTATTACTCTAGTACTATTGTGAGTGATCCAGAACATAAGACAATATGGCTGAGCCATCTTTGGGGGTTTTGAAGAACACTTCCCAAGACTTAAATTGATAAAAACAAAATTATAAATAGAAAGGTCGGTCTATGATATTAAATAGTTTATGAAAAGCTAAACTAGTCCACTTCTCTGTTTTATGAACAACTAAAATTCAGACCTGCATAGCCTTAAGTATACATTTGCAAGAAATGCATATTGTTATGGGGGGGGGGGTTCCTGTGACCTGACAAATGTCACGGATCAAGTTCATCCTCTCAACCGTGTTTCTAACTGTACCAATGCTGCCAAAATGACTATTAATGAAGCTTGGCACCTGTAGAACAGTGCAGAGAGGCAGTGTTTTTGTAAGGTCTCCAGTAGGTCTAGGGAAAACAGTTTTGCTCTGTGCTAGAATGATGAAGTTCAGGAAACATTTTCCATGTTTTAAAGCCACTCTCCACTTTGTATCATTGATAAAAGAACAAGTACATACAAGGAAAGCTACTGCACCATGTCAAATGTTTATTTTGGTTAAAACTTAAAAGCATAATTTCTTGTACAACAAGGATGCAAAACAAAAAAACTAAACAAGCAAGAGCAGGAACACTTACAGAAGAACAGGAAGTCTCCAGACCAATATGCTGGTTCAGGAAAGGAGAACTGAATAGAACTCATTTTTCTTACAAGTAAATATTGCTACCTATAGCAAAAACTAGGTGATTCATTTCAGCCACATGGAAACCTATTACTCCTGAATGAACGTTGTAAATTAGAAATGTCATGAACAGAAAGAAGCAGTGGTCAAATAAACAAAATTTACAATAGGTTAACAGTATGTATATTTTACTCCAAGTCATTCCCACTTAACATTCCCATTAAGGCTTAATTCCAGGTTAATTTCAGGTACACAGCAACTTATACACAGGGAAGGAAAAAATCAGCATGGTTTCTACAAAGTGAAATATAATTCCATTCAACTTCCGAAATTTTTTGATCAAAAAACGTATGGATAGGATTTGATAGACATGAATCAGCAGAATTTCCATAAAACATTGACAAAGCCTCTCACCATAATATCCCAAATAAATATAGCAGTCATGAGATAAGAAGCCCTTCTATGCATCAGTAACTGGTTAAACACTTATAGGTTTCCCACAGGCAGCCACACAGTGGTTGGCCATTGTGTGAACACAAAGTTGCACTAGATTAAGCATAGCTCTTTTTATGTTCTCAGCAAACAGAGAAAGAATAAACAAGCAATTATCATAATGGAGGAAAGTAAGTAGTGGGCTTCCTCAAGGATCTCTGCTTGGACTGACATTATTAAAAGTCTTCGTAAATGATCTAGTATTAAAAATGAGCAATGGCCAAGTTCTCAGAAGATGCCAAATTCCTTATGATAGTATGAACCCAGGCAGACTGGAAAAAGCTCCAGAAGTATTTCCCTTAACTAGATATGCAACAAGAGGACAAATGAGGCTCTGTGTAAGTGATACACAATGGGGCAAAAGTCATAATAAGTCCTGTGAATTGATAGGGACTAATAATGAAAAAATATCTTGAGGCCATGGTAGCTCAATGAGAGTGTTAACAATAAAAAGGAAAATTAAATTTTTTGGATATTTAGGGCAGGGAATGAAGACAAACTGTCAGCAGTGAATTGGCTTTATAGAAGTATATGTACTATAGATTAAGAATGCAGTGTAAAATTCTAGTTATTTCATCTCAAAGGGATATAACACAACATAAAAAATAGAAAGGGGCAAACTAAATCATCATGAGGTCAGAACACCCTTCCTACAAGGAAAAGCTTAGATTTTCTAGTTTAAAGATGGGTCTACTAATGGGAAACATGATAGATAAGACAGGGTATGAAGGAAATTGACAGAAGTTTGGGCTTAACTGAGCCAGTTTTGTCACTGGAGGTCTAAGCAGCTTGCATGGCATGCAGAATATTTTTTTTTAACCAACTTTGGCAGATATACCCAAAGTCACTCCTTACAGACAGAAAAGACATGGGTATTGATTATCATTGCTATGGTAACCTTCTGATTGTATGACTGAAATACAGTGTGCTGGGGATGCCTTAGAAGACTGTCCTGAAGTTGGGCAGTTATGCTCAAAATATAGCTGGAAGATAACTAACCAACCCCAGGTGCTGGAGCATCTATTACTGGTTTCTGTTTCATTTTGGACACAATTCAAAGTATTGATCTTTAAAGCCCTTCTCAACATGGGGGTTGAAATATCACCTACCTCTATCAGTCTGCCTGTACATAAATGCCATTATAACATGCCCCAGTGAATGAGGTATTATGCATGGTAAGGCCACAAATGACATACAAGTTGGAACTTGTAAATAGCATTTTTACCACAGCTATTACCTGAAATTATGAATTCACCTGTGCAGCCCACCCTGGCAAGGTTCTTGAGCTGATGGCAGTCAACCAGCTCTAGGCACTCTTGGATGAGCCTGATTATCTGGATTCATTTCAGTCATGGTTCAGGCCTAGTTTTGTCACAAAAACAGCTTTAATCACTCTGCATGATGTCCCATGAAGGGAAAGAGACAGGGGAAATGTCCTTTCATAGAAATTCCTATGATCATAATGTGATCTGAAGTGTCCTGTTTTTCAGTTCTAAGTTCATATCCTTTGCACCTGGCTGGCGGGTAAATTTTCTAGGAAAAAAGCAAGTCAATTCAACAAATGTGAAGTCTGCCCACTCCCGTTGTATAGAATCCATGTACCCAGGGCTTTTAACAGGCTTATATTCAAATTTCCTCCAACCTAGCAAACCATCCTGCTACCATATCCAACCCTATGGTATATCCTAGCTTCCAAAAGAAACACTCACCCTCACTTACCTGACACAAATGAATTCACATATAAAGGGATAACTGTAACTCAAGGTATCCACAACCTTCCTCGATAATACTGTCCTGCATCAAAACAAAGCCTGCCGCTACTCTGATAACATTCTGACTTCCTCCCATGATGTTCCTTAGAGATGACCTCTGCAGGCAAAGGGTGCCTTCAATGAAAGCGCGCGCACAAATTCAGCAACCTGCAGAAAGAATACTGCTGCCCCCCACTTCCCTAACCGAGCCAGCCCTACCCCATCACCGCCCTGCTTCCTTCCTCTCCTGATGTTGGCACGTCCTTTTCCCGAGGTATTAATCTCGCACCCCCTGCCTAAGATCCACTCTTGGGTCCAACGCAGAGTTTTCGGTCTCTTACCCATCCTGGCGAAGTGAGTGGGCCGGTGTGTGTGGGGTACTCGGGAGGGTACTCGGCGCCAGAGAAAATGCGCGCCGTCACTCGGCCGGTCTCCCCCTCTTCTCTCGCGCCGTCTCCCTCCCACCGTCCGTCGGCCCGTCCGTCCGTCACATCAGCCACCTCCTCCGTCGCCGCCTCATTCCAAGGATTTGGCTTCAGCCGCCCTTTTCAGCCAACTCCGTTTTAAGGCCCTGAACAAGCAGTGGCGACGACTCCTCCCACACCCGCCTTCCGTCGGGTCTATTTCTACTACTTCTTTCAGCGACAATTCTTTAACGCCGAGTTTCTAAGATAAACTGCGACCACGCATGCGCAATGCTTCTCTTCCTCCAGTACAGGAGAGAAGCGCATGCGCACTCCAAAACTAACGGCGGCTTTTAGCAACAAATTAAAAAAAAATGTGTAGAGGGCGGCTTCGTTTGGTCGAGCATGGTTTAGAGTTCTGCCGACGTTTTACTCTGCTTGAATCCCAGTGGCCACAATACCGCAAGTGTCAAAGCTGTAATATGTATAATGTCCTAGAACAGCGCACATTTGGAGTTACCAATAGGGTGGCAATAACAGCTATTCTGAGCCTTCTTCCATACAGACTACTTGGCAGAAACTAATCATGTATCATGCCGCTGCTCAAACTCTCTTAATTTCTTCCCAGGTTTACTGGAGTTCAGCTCCCCAAGAAGTCTGGGAAGGGAGGGAGGAAAATGTGCAAATGGCACAGAAAAGGGATTCCTCTGACCATGGGTAATACATTTCTGAGAAAGTAGCTTTATCATGCTATTTGATTTTTTTAGGAACCATGAGTAGTTGTGTACATTTAAGGCATGAAAAGTGAACTTTTAGCAACATAAAAACCTGCTTGGCTATTATGTCCCCCCCCCCCCCGGCCCCCCTTACACCACCATGAGTAATTTAGAAACATTCCATTTTATTAAAATGTAAGAAAGGCAAAATACACGCATGGCAGTAGGAATGGAACAAACTAAAGTATATAGAGGAAGTAAGATCAGTATTTTTAAAAGTAAGATCAACCTTCTAAAGAGTCCAGCATTCTACTTCAAAACTTAAAAAAAAACTGCTTTAAATTTTTACAGCATTTCAATACCATTCCAGAGATCAGGTATTCGAAATTAAAATCAATTTCATTGTAATGTCCATAAAAATCAAAAGGGAATATTGCAACAAGTTAATCATTGTCTGCCACATAAAGGGAAGATTAAGTTCAGTAACAATTTTGCCCAACAATATTGGGTAAGAAAATATATGCAACGCTCTCAACAAAAGAGGAGAGGAACTTAAGTCAGTGCTATTGCTTATCAGAAAGAACAAGGAGACTTCAAACTTTATACAGTCATGCTACAAGTTTCACATCTTTAGGAAATCACACTGGAAGTACACAACATAAGCTAATGTTTTATAGTTTAGTACAGGTTAGTAAAAAAAACCCAGTTTATAATATAATTCATATCCTGTACACAAAGGACAGCTCTGTTCATTTTCACACAGATACCACAAATTCATCACTTGACCAACACTGCTTTGCAAGTGTATTATAGACCTGAATGTCTTTGTTCCTTCACTGAGTATGTCTTTATGCCCATCATCTGCTTCCCCTTGACCAGTACTGTCCAGCTCATTTAAAGAAATTAAACAGGACAATTGGATTTGATCTAGTCCTGTGATGTTTGGGATTATCAACAATCTACATGTACTGTTATGTCCTAACTACTGAAGGGGGGGCAGGGGGAGGGGCACACATGAGAAAGATGATGAGAAATTCAGTCAGTTCACTCTCTCTCCCAGACTTTATGTTTGCCTTCAGGTGAGACCAGTATTGTTTCAACAAAGACATTTATACATCAGTTACCACGTTCCCCCACTATGTACTCAAGTACTACAGAACAAATAATCAATAGGTTCATCATATTTCCTTTCATCTCATTATGTACATCACTGGTGGTTACATCTGAAAAGGTACTCTCACTACAGCTCCCTCTTCCAGTGCTTCATGTTATTCATGTTATTGTGGAAAAATGGTCTGATATGCAAAATAGTCTGGTCTCCTCTCTGAAAGTTGGGGAAGCCATCCTTCTGAGAAGTGAATAGAAACAATCACAAGTACATTTATTTTAAGAAAAGGGCTATCACAAATAAACAACTGATGCTACAGAAGCTTCAGTGTGCACCTTGAGAAAGTAAGAATAAATATACAAATATACCTAGAGAAGCTTGCATATTTGATACTGAAAAGAGAGAGAGAGAGAGGTCGTATTAAAGTTCAACAAAACACTGCCACTGCATATTAACAACATATACAAGTCTTAGACTTCAACTAAGCTTATTTTTATATCTTCAGGGATGAATTTTGCATTATTTGGGATAAAACTCACGGCTGAGATAAATGGGATACAAGTTTCTTTTAAAAGGATAAATGCAGTACTTCTAGGAAAATGTTTGTTGCCTCTTGGGAGTCATTAAGATCATATGTGGCTGAAGTAGTTCATTTTAGTGAGGAATATAGTTTTAGAAGGCAGTGCAGAACTAGAGATTGTAATTACATGCATTTGCACACTGGTACTACTTTTAATATCAACAACTTTGCACTGTGCAAAAGGCAAAGCAGAAAATGGATCATTGCTCACTAAACAATGGAGTATCAAGCTGAAGCTTCACTCCAAAATATTTCTGCAAGATGCATTCTGGTTCTGCAACATTTACAAGTTCCTGCTTGCAGCTGAAGAAATTTTACTAGTAACAGACTTTAGTTGCAAAGAACCCTTACAGCACTAGTATTACAAGAATTATGAACAAGGTCAGGGGTACAGAAGCAGGAAAAAAATTACAAAGTTAGCATCATATCCCATCTCTAGAACTTTAAGCAATTTTTAGGCATCTACAGCAAAACCAAATGATTTCTGCTAGGGTGTTACTTGCTAGTCAGCTCCATTGCTCAGTTAATACAAACACTCAGCACAAATGGCTGTCATATATACATACCTTTAATTGAAAGTAATAATAAAATCCCAGGTTTGAAAAGCTCAGCATTTCCCTGCATTTAAGTTATGGGTGAGGAGGGGCGGGAGAAGAAGAAAGGTAGTCAGTAATTAATGCCAGTTGTGAGTTTTCCTAGAACAAGTTGGTAAGAGCTAGTGGCACTGTTTCAATGCAGTTTTGTTCTTAACTTTAGAAGAGGAGAAAGACTACCATTCTGTTCCATTTTTTTCCCCACGGCCCAGCCGTTTTACACTCTCAAAATTTCCAGACAGTTGTTGTAGCAGATAGCTATCCAGTCCGGCTGAGTTGATGCCCACTGTACATTATTGATTTCCCCTTCTGCTGTATAGGCCAGGATTGGGTCTTCAATGGCACGAGGCATTTGCTGGATATCCCAAATAAGAGCTTGATGGTCATCAGCTGCCAAAGGTAAAAAAGCAGAATTACAGATGAAAGAAACCAACTTTCCCCAGAGATATATTTTCGTCTGTGTACTCAAAAGTAAAACAGATTAAAAAGTTCAAAGATAAAAAAAACTTAAAGTATGTAGTATAACTTTTACCCATTCATACTTTCTGCCCCTAACACTATAGTTTGCATGCCCTCTCTTTTTCTTTCTTTAAAAGATACATAACTTGTATTTAAGGGAAAATACTCCCTACAGCAAAACTTAAAAGCCACATATATTGTGGTGGGCAGCAAGATTAAACTGCTACAAGACAATAATCTGAAAGTTATTTTATGTACGCTTCTCACAGCTTTCTTGCAGAGAAATTGCTAAAATTAAAATGTCTTATTCTTGCTGATTATCACCATTATCATCATTGCATGTTAGCTGAATAAATCAGACCTAAACTAGTCATGTGTTACCTGCAGATATGCAAAGATCCAAAACATTTGGTTGGTCCTTAGAATGTTTGTTATATGCAGCTAGAATTTTGTTTCCAGATTTTTGTTTTCAGACAACATGCATGCATGCATGCATGCATGCACGCATTCATTCATTCACATCCTGTCCTTTTCCTACAAGGAGCCCAAGGTGGCTTACATAATTCTCTTCTTTTCCATTTTATTGCTACAAGAACCCTGTGAGGTACATTAGGCTGAATCAGTGACTGGCCCCAAGTCATCCAGCTGTCATTCAATTCATGGCTGAATTGAGACTAAAATCTTGATCTCTTTGGTCCCAGTCAAACACCCCAATATATCACACTCTGTTCACATATCACAACAAGAATGACTGTGCTGTTTCTAAGGCATATGGATTTTTGCCCTAACATACTGGTCATATAAGTTCTGACAGCAACGTAGTTTCTGATCTCCTTGCTCCATCCTCCTGCTCTTGCCACACAGCCCAGCCAATCCTGTGAGCAAAGTCCCCTTCTGCACTGCATCATTCCTTATGAAGCTTAGCTGCCTATACCTGATTGGTCCACTAAAGATGGGTTCTCCCTTGATGAGCACTCTTAATCTGATTTTGCAGCCAACTGGGGATCCACCTAAAGGCTGCACTATCAATCCCACTTTTTGCAAATTTGATAATTAGGATGTCATCCTTCATTCATTCATATACTCACTGCCAAATGATAGTAATGATTGTAGTACTTCTTATAAAATATATATGAGTTGGGGTATAGCTTAATTCAGTGAAGCAATGACATTATTTTAAAAAGTGGGTAACTCATAAACCTAATTCAGGAAAGCACAGATCTAGGAAATTACCCAACAATTCCTTGGCATGAAAAATCCAAATGAAAGAATGAATGACAATAATTATCCATGCTTACCTGCTGTGCAGATATGACAAGAAGAATGTGGTGCCCAAGCAATACCATTCACACATGCTCTGTGGTTGTTCAGCCTGGCCACGGGAGTACATGGAACTCTGACATCTAGAATGACGACCTTAGAAGAGGAAACAAGTAATATGAAGATGAAAGCTAATAAATAACTTTGCAAAATGAAAAAACCTAAGTTATATGGCTCTCAAGGAGCTATGTTTAACTAATTAGTGTCTTCAAAACACAAGACACTGCACCTATATCTTATCAAATAAATACATCCTTTCCATGCACAGTGTCTTACCGAAGTATTCACCACCTTTAACTTTTCCACATTTTTATTGTGTTACAACCTGGAACTGAAAAGGATTTAATTGGCATTGTTACCACTTGATGTACACAAGATGCTCAACATTGTGAATGTTCTAAACATTGCAATTGTGACACAAAAGTTAAGTAAACAAAAGCAAACTGCCACTTGTTGTTTGCAAAAGCATCCACTCCCTTTGTTGTGAGATGCCTAAATAAGCTCTGATGTAACTCACTGCCTGCAGAACTCCTATAAGTAACTGAATGGAATCTATCTGTGCGCAATTTCAAAGGCCCCAAAGTATGTTGGAAAGCATATCTAAACAAACATATCTAAACAAGCATAATCATCAGAACAATTCCAGGATGAAGTTGTGCAGAAACATCATTCTGATTTGAATTGTAAAACAGAATCCCAAACTATGAACATTTCCTAGAGCACCACTGAACTCATTATTACAAAATGTCTCAACTACGACTGTGTCAAAGTAAGGCTATCTAGCAAAATTCAGTGATGGAGCAAGAATGGCATTACTCAGAGAAGCGAGCAAGACCCCAGTGGTAACTGCTGAGAGAGCTAGATACACCAGCAGCTGCAATACAAGAACCACCTATCACCTGGATGCTCAACAAAGCTGGATTTTATGGAGGAATGGCAAGAATGAAGCCACTGCTGAAACAAACCCATATGAAAAATGAATTTGCAAAAAGGCATTTCAGAGACATAGCACACTTGGAGAAAAAGGTTTGATGAGAGTAAACTTGAATATTTTGACCTTGCTGCAAAACACTACATTTGGTGTGAACCCAACAGTGCTCATTGCTCTGGGAACATCATTCCCATGATGAAGCAGGTGGCAACATCATGTTGTGGGTATACTTTTCCACAGCAGGGACTGGAAAACTGGTCAGGATTGAGAGCAAGTTGGATGAAGCCAATTATAGGGCAATTCTAGAGGAAATCCTGTTTTACTAGGCAAAGGACCTGGTGCTAGAGAGAAGGTCCACCTTCCCACAGAACTCTAAATGCACAGCCAAAGCAGCACAGGAGTGGTTTAAAAATAAGAATCTAAATGTCTTACAGTGACCCAGTCAAAGCCCAGATCTCAATCTGATTGAGAATCTGTGGCAAAACTTGATGGTCGCCATCTAACTTAATGCAGCTATAACAGTTTCGCCAGGAAGATTGGGCAAACATTGCAGGATCCAGATGTGCAAAGCTGAAGAGACTTATCAAAGAAGACTCACTGCTCTAATGGCTGCCAAAGGTACATTTATCAAATAATGGTCCTGGGGTTTGTAGGCTTTTGCAACCAACAAGTGCCAATTTGTTTTTGTTTACTTCATTTTTGTTTCACAATAAAAAATGCTTTGCGCCTTCACAGCATTGAGTATCTTGTGTATATCAAGTGGTAATATTGCCAACTGAAACCACTTCAATTCCAGGATGTAACACACCAAAATCAAAACAGGTGAATACGTCTGCAAAGCACTGTAATACAACAGAATACTATATATCTGCTGTCACTGCGAAAGAAATATGACAGTACCTCCTCATCAGCCAGGTTACAAAGAAGTATAAGTCACAAGTCAAGGAATAAAATATTATGTCTTATTAGCATGGTTTACATACAAGGCATTGTCTCTTTACAATTTCTTCCTTAAAATGGAGGTGTCACTATGAAAGCTATTTATTAATTCCAACAACAGGCTCCTCTTTGTCACAGCATACATGCTCAGAAAGAAGTGGACTGGTCACTTTAGTCTATTAAATCAGCCTCATCAATGATACAGGAGCAAGCTCACACAAAGCATCTCATTCTCAATATGACACCATGAGGATAATTAGTAGCCTTCCACTTACTTATTGTGCCTACCAACAACTCAGTATGGCTGCTCTCCCTAGTTTACAAGCATATGACATGCACATGGTGGGCATGTCATGAGCGGAGCCAGCTGGAGCCGGGGGTCAGACTAGATGGCCCAAGAGACCCCTTCTGACTCGCTCTGTTTCTATATGCACCTGACTTCTATGCATTCTCACCTTTATGGTACTTTGTTCAGAGAAGAGGGCTGTAAGAAATTCCTGAAGCAAATGTGCTAGCCCCATAATTTTCTGCATGTAGCTAGAAAACTTGGCTACCACAACCAAGAATCCAAATAGTACTGCCCAGGTACAAAGTGAACTGGCCACCATCACAGACTTCTGTCTCACCTCCATGCCATCCATTGCCATTGTTGCAAGATAATTAGGGTCTTGTTTATTCCAGCAAAGACGGAGCAGAGGATGGTGCTGAGGATCCTCATAGATAATAGTGCTGTGTTCCAAGTGCCGCAGGTCAAACATCCTCACTGAGCCATCAGCGCCAACAGAAGCAAACATATCTCTCCCACCTCCTGCACGGCTGAACGCAATATCATACACCTGCTCAGACACCAAAGGCAGAGAAAAATGGAAAAAGAAGCATGACGATGCTGCCTCCCTGACTAAGATTTTGGCCTTACCAAGCTTTATCATGCAAATGGAGATGTACTACTGGCACATCAGACAATTTCTTTGTTTAGCTTAGAGAAGGGCAATGCTGATACACACATGGACAGTAAATCATAGTCACCTCTCTCCTTGTGAACTGTCTTAGGAGAAATCTCTCAGGACTATTATATCTCCTTCTCAATGCTTTAATTTGTTATATTCACTTCTCATAACCAGTGAATTATTATGAAGGGAGAGATGAATTCATTTCTGAAATACTAGTGCCACCCTACCACAACCTTCCTTATTACTAATCCTACATTTCAGACTCAAAGAAGTTTCCTTGTTGCTCCAGCCGGGGAAAAGAAGAGGGAAAAAGTACATCACCTCTTTGTCATGGGCAATCAGCTGAGTCTTGACATGGCCTGACACCAAATTCACTCTTCCCAAGACTTGACCAGTCTCCAAACCCCAGATAGTACAAGTAGTGTCAATACTTGAGGTGCCTGCGACGGGAGGGAAAAACCCACATATATTAAGAATTCTTCTTAGCCTCAATAAACATATGAACCATTATGCTATATTCATAGTGTTTAATCTTTAAAAGGTAGACTTCAACTGACTCCCAGTTCTTGCTCTACAGAAAACAGCTTGAATGTTTTCTGTAGAGCAACTTAAGTATTAACACATTCCGTTGTGAGACACAAGTGTGATTTCCAGGATATTTTTTAAAATGCCAATTCTGAAATCTGTTTTCAATCTAAGTACCCAGTTTTTAAATAAGAAATGGAACACATAATCCCATGCAATCTATTTAGGAATAACTCCTATCAATTTCACTACTAGGAAAATGGGTATATGATCACAGCCTAAGGGAACAATCCTATCATCCTTGGTGTTCAGATTTCTTGATCTGAGGCTGGAGAAAACTGGGGAACTGGAAAACTACCCACTGTGCAACTTCCCAGAAATAACTGCTACTCTTCCAGTTTTGAAAAACAATCAGAGAAGAGGAAAGAGAGGAAGTTTTGGTAAGTTGGGAAGGGAGGAAACTGGAGAGGCAAGGACATAAGCTAGCCTGAGGGTTCTCCAGCGTCTTTCATTCCTACTCTGAAATGACCCAGCTGGGCAGGCAAAAAAGCCCATACAGTATAAAATGCAGGGTGAGATACAGGAAAGCAAAGATCACCTTCATCACTCCTCCCACTCTGCACAGGATGGCCATAAGTCTCAAAGTTCAAAGGCTTACTGTCACTAAGAGGGCAACCCTCTAAGGTTCCACATTGCCTAGAATAGCACCTAACCACTTAAAGACATTGAACTAGGGGTGGTCACAAGGCTAATCAAATGTATTTTATTAATCAGTCAAATATTGTTCAAATAAAAGTTGAACAGCATTGTTAGCACTGTTACAAAGAATAAAGTCAATTACAAAATAACTTACGAATCAATGAAATTAAGTTCTAGTAAACTGTAATCTATTACAGTATTATGTAAATTGATGTGAATAATAGTTGTACTTTGCTTTTGTTCTAGAATCTCAGCAATATGCCAAACTGTTAATATTAACATTAAATGGGTGGGAGGAGTGAGGGAAATAAGGTGACATAAAATGCATGGGTTTTGACAATAGTTATGGTAATGAGCAAGAGTTGCCCACTCCTAAATTAAGAGAATGAGAGAAAGAAATGGGGCTATTTGTGTAGGATTGAGACAGACCCTAGGGCTTCCTATCATACTTGCCTAGCAAGCCAAGAGGAAGTCCCCAAACATTTGCAGAACGAGGTATGTGCAACTGGCAACCTTGCTCTTGATTAGGTGCAGCAGCCCAAAGGCTGCTGCAGGTGACATGCGAGGGGGATGCCCCTTGTAGTAACACAAGGTTTATCAGCAGTGGAACCCAATGTGAATGAGCGCAGTATCTCTCTTCCATGCCACATGTAGCAGCCATTTGGAAGAAGGATGCTGCTTGAGCAGCACATGGGTCTTGACTCCTGGCAAGTGGTGATCATTAGATGTAGGGACAGGAAAACACAGAAGCATGCATTTTGGATGATACAACAAATCAAACAGATAAATGAGCCAAATCCTTAACTGATATTGTAATTTGAGAATTACACGTTTCATGGCTCTGAATGTTTGCACAATACCCACCCACACACACTTTTTTTTGGCTGGCAAGTAACCCAAACACAAGTGAACAAAGCAAATTCTTCCAAGTTAGGTTAAATTATTTCAAAAAAGGAAAGTTACCACTGGAAACAGCAAAATTACTCTCCCAATATAGCAATCCATTGGCTTAAGGTTAATTTAAACTATTGTTGTTATCTGCTTTAATCACTGTACTACCACCCCACTGTCAAATTAGTGTTTCAATCTTGCCTAGTAGATAAGGATCCACTTCATTCCAATCAAAGGATGTCAGCGGGGCACAAAAGTCAGAATTCTTATTGTTGTTCAGCAAACACTCTAGCCTTGTTTCTGTTTCACCCACCTACAAGAAGAAATATATGTGTATGTTGGTCATCACACTGAATCTGCTTGCTTGCTTATACATGTATAAACCCTCAAGAAGTGCATTAAAGAAAAAAGTGAAAAAGCTATTTGCATCAGAATTTTCAGGGATTCTATATTATTCTGAAAGGAAAAAAATGCTACTCTGTTGGTTAAGACTTCTGTAAGTCAAATTGAATTTGACCAATTGAGCACAACACTTAACCGAAATATGCTCTCTCATAATTTTGTTCTGGACTGTAATCAGCCACTCCCCAACTGTAAATTCATGGTAAATCTGAAAAGCATAATGGTTTTGTGAGAAATTTTCTATTGATAGATGGATTTTTAGGATAGCTTCAATTAAGAAGGTTCTGAGAAACTCACATAGTGGGATGGCAGAATCATGCAGTACCACTTTTGATGTTTTTTATCTTGTAAAATGTGGTATATAAAATAGGGAAAATATTGCCAACTTCCATGTTTGTGAGGTCAAAGAAGTCAATAGATGTATGTTGCTTGAAACTGTAAATAAGTCAGAATGCATATATAATCTTTATTTAGCAGTGGGGGCAGATATTAAGCTTGCATGATCTATTTTGCTACTTTATCAGAATATCAAAGTCCACCAACCAGAGGCTGGTGCAAAATTGCATTCGTGTGGGTCTGTAGATACTGTTCACAGTACAATAGCTGTGAACAATAGCTATGTGTCCTTTTCACATAAAAAACTACATCAAAGACACAGGTCCATTCCTCAGTATCAGGGTGGATTTGATTTAAATCACTCATAAGTAAGACTATATTTAAATCATGGTTTTGCACACATGCCTACTTTACATGTAGGTAGAGGAACTTCATTAAAATATACCCAAACTGGGTCTCTCCTATGGTCTGCTGTCAATGTAGGTTTTCTCCTCCAGGGAAAGAATAATATAATATAGCTTAGAGTATACACTAAAAGATCCAAGGACATGTGGAGTATTCTGCTCATGAGGGCTCACTTTCATTTTTACTGCTTGCCCCACCCTCCTCAGCTTCTTGTGCAGATCTATTCCACTCCCAACAATCATCTTCTATTCATTGAATGTTTTGAAACTTAGCGCTTAAGAGGTAAGGGGGTGATTCTGAGTACAAAAATTTGCAAAGGAACGATGGGATTTAGGTCTCTTTCTCAACCCTGTGTTTCTTTTGTACCATTTTTTTGCTGTGAAGAAGAGCCATGTGATTTCTGTAGATACAAATTCACATGTTTGAGAACTGTAAACCAAGCATCTGTGATAATACCTTCCAGACAGAAAAGTTGCCCAATGATCTTACAGAAAACTCTGGAAGAGCATGACATTGTGACGGGATTAATGGAATTCATTTACCAAACAATGTAAATATTTAATGAATATACAGCCTCATGGTACATAATTAAAAACTAATCCTTATTTCATGATGAATAACCTTTGGACCATAATGTATCTAAATAGAAAACTACCTTTAAATAGATTTTTCCTCAAAAAATTATTTTTAAAAATCCCATTTAAATAAAAATCCAATTTAAAATAAAAAATCGGATTTAAATTTCTAAAATTTATTTAAAAAAGCATTGATTTTTATCCACCATGTTTTGAATGCTGACATCACAAGATTTAATGTACTTCTTTGTATGGAATCATATTTTGTTTGCATTGTAGATTTTGATTTTATTATGGCACAATGGGGAGGCAAATGAATAAAAGCATGCTTTCGAGAGAACAAGCTTGCTGAAATTTCATGGTGCAACTGATGAACTCTGTCCTCCTACAACCACTGTAGACTATTTTTATCAAATATTTCAATGGTAATGAGCTTCTAAGTGCCTATTAATTTGAGTAGAATGGCTAATTATGCATATTTACAATTATTGTTTTAGTATTTATATATATTTACAATTATTACAATCAGATCTCCAGAGGGAATTCCAAACTGGTAACCTGCTTGACAGCATGCTGTAATAAAATCACAAGAACATATTCATTTATTCTGGTTCCTGACTCCTAGCCAAGAAGATCAGAGGAAGCTGCCCCAGCTAGACTAGCAACTATTTGACACAAGTAACTAAGATCCCAGAGAACTCAAGTGAACACAGAGAGTAAACTATAGTTTGGTGAGGGAGATCTAGAAGGAGGTCCCTTTATTCCCCCTGTCCTTCCTTTTTTCGTTTTCTCCTAAGTTCTCGCCCACTTTGTTTTTTCATTGTAACACATTCAGTATCACATTTACTGACTCTGTTGTTAACCTTCACTAAAGATAGGAGAAAGCACTGGTTGTTACAGCAGGCCCAGTTAGAATCGAAAGGCTAGCAGAAAGAATGGACCAAGAAGACTCCCCAGTGGTGGTGACCTGCAGAGTCTGTGCAATGTTTATTTTCTTGCCTGAGGTTAACATGGCCTACATGTGCAACAAGTACAAGCTAGTAGCCCCGCTGGAAGAAAAAGTAAGAGCACCACAGCAGCACATGTCCACCCTCAAGGGAATAAAAGATGATGAAGAGTTTTTAGATAGAGCAGTGGAACTGCAACAACTAAGATTAGTACAGAAGCTAGAAATGCAACAGCAAGTTGAGGCAGAAGAGGAGAATCCTGAGGGAAAGAAAAGTGAAGAGGAAACTCCCTAAAAACCATTAAGAACAGAAGAACTGGAAGACCCTCTGCACCAGAGGGAGCAGGGAAACTATGGAACTACTTTCAGTTACTCAAGTATGAGACTAAAGGGCAGCCTACAGTAGAACTACAAGTTATCCCATGCAAGAGGCTACAGGTCAACCGAGTAGTGGCAATGATACCAAGGTTTCATTGGTATTCTTATAATATGAAGGCTTACAAGGAGGAGGAAGAGGAGACCACCCACCACCACCAGTTGCGGGAGACTCCTGTTGCATGGGATGCAAACAAATATGCCATGTATGCTGTCTTGCTGCAGGGCAGATTAGTGATATAACTGAAAGACTGCCAAGGCTCATAACACTCACTGACACATATCCCTACCTTCTTATTATACATGTAAGAACAAATGAAACTCCCAAGTGGAGCTTTGAAAAAAATCATATCAGGCTTTGGAGCTTTAGGATAGAAAGTCAAGGATTTTATGGCCCAATTTATTTTCTCTTCAATCTTTCCAGTTCCTAGAAGAGGAATAGTTGGTTACTGAATCAGACTCAAAGAGTGCTCATCAATTGCCCCTTCTCAAACTGAGGACAGTTAACAAGTGTGGTACCGCAGGGTTCAATCCTGGGCCCAGTGCTCTTCAACATTTGTATTAATGATATGGATGTGCAGGAAAGCCTTATCAAATTTGCAGATGACACAAAACTGGATGGGATACCCTGGAAAACAGATTCAAGGTGAAAGAAGGTTGGAGTACCGGTCTGAAAACAGAAAGAGTTTCGGGGGGAGGGAAGCATGCCACGTTCTGCAACAAGGAAAGAAATCAAGTACATTTTTTACAAGGTGGAAAATCTTGATGTCATCCTTACTAAATCACTGCATTCCCACATTTTCCTAAGTGTCTTTTCTTTTTTCAGACTTGATTTGTGTTAGCTTTTTGACTTTCAAACTGACTGTTTAGTGCCAACTTTTCCAACATAGATTGGAATACAGGAATTGGTACACATGGAAGTTACTGGGTAGTTGGCAATGTAGCTGTTGCTGCTCTGCTCTTTCCTGATTGCCCTACCAGCATATGTTCTCACAATACTGTTCCTTCCCTCATTACTTGGAAACAGCTGGAGCTGCACTTTTTCTTTTCCCTGCTCCCCACAGGTGTAGCAATAACTTTTATTTAGTTTTGTTGGTATATTGCTGCACAAACATAATAAAAAGCTGGAACCTTGTAGTGCAGTTCCTTCCATTATAATCAACAGTTTCTTGACTTGAAATCATTTTAGATTGCCTTAAAGTCAAAGTGTGCAAAGCAAAATCTGAAATCAATGGTTTCAAACTCATCTGCCTCCTGCAGCATTCTAGTTTTGCTTAAGTAAATTATTTTTTATCTTATTACATTGTACTTATACCCCGCCTTATTTCTTTTTGTGAGGAACTCAGGGCAGCTTACGTAGCTTCATTTTATCCTCATAACAACCACACTGTGAGGTAGTTTGGGCTGAGAATCTGTGACTGGCTCAAAGTCACCCAGTGAGCTTCATGGTCAACTAGGGGCTAGAACACAGATGTCTTGGCTCCCCGTTCCAGCAAATGGGCATGAGGATCTCTTGGCTCCCCATTCTAGCACTCTAACCACCACACTGCACTGGCTTTCAAGTAAAGGCAGCAACTTCCCCTTTCCAACTTGCCTAACCTCCTTCCTCTCAAATTCCAGTGCTTTGCGCATTTTGACATCATATTGCTGCATAAAAACAAGATCTGCAAGTAATTTAAGTTTTTAGTAGATGCACTAGCACACTTTTCCTGCTTAGTTACCTTCACTCCCTCCAAACTAGAACTTCTGAATCAAGAATGGAAGAAACGAAGGCAGACAAACACGGTTAAAAAAAGATGGGGTTTAAATTATAAAGATGTACTTGACCCTGGAGCTAGGCCAATGGTAATCCATAGGGTGGGTGGAATCTCAGCACAGCATTTACACAGAGCAGCAACTGTACCTGTCGTGAATCTGTATGCTTAAAGAGAAGGTCTTTTTATTTTTCTCTTTCCTGCCCAACACACACTTTTCTCTACTGACACAGTTGTATGTTGTTGTAGTTTAAACCAAGCATAATATTACAGATGCTTAGTTTTACAGTTCTCAAACCTGTGGATTTGTATCTACAGAGATAACATGGCTCTTCTTCACAGCAAAAAAATGGTACAAAAGAAACACAGGGTTGAGAAAGAGACCTAAATCCCATCGTTCCTTTGCAAATTTAAGTGCTATGTTCCTTAAGTTCCTTTGCAAAATTAAGTGCCAAGTTCCTTACCTTTTAAGTGCTAAGTTTCAAAATATTTAATGAATAGAAGATGATTGTTGGAAGTGGAAAAGATCTGCACAAGAAGCTGAGTGGGGGGGGGGAGCAGTAAAAATGAAAGTGAACCCTCATGAGCAGAATACTCCACATGTCCTTGGATCTTTTATAGTGTATACTCTGAGCTATATTATATTATTCTTTCCCTAGAGGAAAAAACCTACATTGACAGCAGACCATATGAGAGACCCAGTTTGGGTATATTTTAATGAAGTTCCTCTACCTACATGTAAGGCAGGCATACGTGCAAAACCATGGTTTAAATATAATCTTACTTATGATTTAAATCAAATCCACTCTGATAGTGAGGAATGGACCAGTGTCTTCAGATAAATTACAGTTAATGTAATAGTCATAACATGCCCATTTGTTATGTTACCTTCAAAATGAGAGATTTAACACGTGTATTGCTCTTCCTGCGAGCCATATTTTGAGGTACAGCAATATGATGTCCCTTAAACTCCAAAGCACATTTGGAATGTTTTGGAAATCATACCTCTTGGAGCAACTTGTATGCCAAAGATTCTTCATCAGCAGGAATTACCACACAAAACTGTTGTATTTGAATACCACCCAAAAAACACTGAGTCCTCTGCCATTCATAGCAGCTGGTCAGCCCAGCCTCCATATTCCTGGTGACACCAGGAAAATACCTTCTACAAGCCAACTTACTCTCCACACACGCAGGTAATCACCACTGGTGGCCAAAAGGTCAGGATAAACTCCCTTGGTATCTGGGATCCACATGAGTTTGGTAGTAGGATATGGATGATCAAAGGTGTTCCTGCAAATGAACTCAGAGCTTTCTTCATCCAACCCAACAAGTTGAACCTAAAATAAAAAAATACTGCCAATCATCTTTCTGTCCACATAGTACTGTTTTACAGAGTCTTACAGCCAGTGGTCTTAACCTACATATACAGAAATATGAGGAAGCCCTCTTTCAAAAGAACCTCCTTTGCATGCACTGGAATATTGGATTTTCCAGGGTAAATTAACACACGATTTCTATTATTATTAAGGGCAAATGGACGAATACGTGTACATGCACACATGTCCCAACCACCAGAAACACTTTCACTGTAAGAGAAACAAAAACTATGCAGAGGCTGCTTCTTCGGTCATCTTTCTATCTCCACACCACGATAAAGCGTTAGTAGTTCAATGGTGGCTGCCTGTCACGCAGCTTTTAGAGCGCTCTCCATGCCCACCATAGAGGAGGACGAAGAGCCAACCCGAGGTGTAAGCAAGTTCCAGAAGCAGTTTGGCCAAGCCCCATTTCATAGTCACTTCGAGGAGCTGGGCCTGCAACGGCTAAAGACCAACTGAGGATTATTTGATAGGAAGCAAAGAGCTGTACTGCTCGGTTCGGTCGGTGGATACGGAGTCGGAGCAAACCCCGATCGCTACCCCTCTCGTGACGCCTTCCCGCCCACTGACCGGCTGCACTGCCCACCTTATTATTGTATTCTTCCACGAAGCTGCCGAGCGCGAGCCTGAAGCGCTTGTCGGGCCTGACACTCCAGTTCATAGCATACACAGTCCATGGCGCCTCGTACTTGTAGATCTCCTTGCGCTTCCCGTGCAGCGACATGGCGGGCGGGAAGGCTCACTCCGATGATCCTTCCCGAGCTCCCGTAACAACAACCTCGGCAGCCGTTCTTCCCCTCACACAACGACTACGGCGAAAACCCACTCCTCCACCGAGCCTTTCAAACTTTGACCTTTCATTGGCTATTTCCGACGCCCTTCAAAAGCTCCCCGTTTCTCATTGGCTTCTTTCAGTGCTTACTTGTTCAAGCCCCCAAAGGAATTAAAATACTGGCCATCATCAAGATGCTTATTAGTGAGAAAAGTTGTCGCTCTTATTTAAAACCCGCCTCTCCGGCCAAATCTGAGTATTTGCGGGGCTGATTTAATACCTGGCAGCCATTGGAGAAGGAAATTGCTCGGAGCATAGAGACAGAATATAGATTCACGTTTCCGATATTTTAACTTCCTGGTTCCTTTTGTAGCCTTTAAAAAGCAAAGCCTTCTTCCAAGGCAGACTTGCGTGGAGCCCACGTTACTACATTTTAGGTGCCAAATGCCTTTTTAAAGGCCTTTCAAAACATTTTTCTTTTAAAGCTTTTGCTGCATTGTCTGCTGGGGTGTGTGTGTGTGTATTTTTAGGATGCTCCTGTGTAAGCGCTCTGAAGAAGAATTGGAATAATAATATATCAGATTTCTAACAGATTTTTAAAAATCCTGCCCTAAACAGATTTCACAATACAGCAGATTTTATTATATTCTGATTTAGTTATTTCCTGTCGTCGTTACATTTTGTCGTCTTCGAACTATGGTGATCCTATGAATGCATGCCCTCCAAAATATTCTGTCCTTGACAGCCCTACTCAGCTGACTTGATGACATGTGATGACAGGATATAAATACATAAATCAGAATATAATAAAACTTGCTTCGGTGTGAGGCTTGTAAGACATTCTTAACCAGTTTTAGACATCTAAAATAAACACTAATGAAAAAGTGTGTAGAACTTCTGGTGAGTATTTTACGAATCATTTTTTAAAACCCTGTTTCTTGTATGGAAATATTATTATAGTGTTTTAGATATTTCTAAACACGACAACACTAGATTACTATATTGCAAGGTTATCATAAATTTCTCAAAATATGGTGATAGTAACATGGACTACAATGCAAATTTTCTGTAGACTAATATCATCACCTCTAACCTGCAGTATGAATGCTGACTTTCATTTCCAAGTCATCGTAACACAGTATCTTTCAGCCTGTTCATTCCATGTCCACAATATGTAATGCAGTTATAATAATACTTACCCATGGGAACAATAACACTGGACTACTCTGCAGGGCTGTCACAAGCCTCTCAGCCACAGACTCTCCCTCCCACTGCCACCTGAAAAGTAGGAATCAAATTATTTATGGTATTTACAATTGCAACACTTTTAAAAAATATTCAAAAACTAAAAGAAAAAAAAGAATCATCCTTATGTGAACTAAAACCTGAGTAAGTTAGAGGATGAATTGTTGGATTTCTCCATTGTATCCTATGAGCAGTTCTGTGTCTATTGCCTCAAGCAAAAGAAAGAAGAATTGGAAGTGACCAGGAAGTCCTGTGTCTCATCCATGGTATTGCCCATCTAATACTTTTTAAAGTCTATGAACTGAAGCATAATTCCTCCTAAGTATGCATATGACATTCCATTTCCATCACTGTGAAGGAAGGCATTTGGGGAAGTGATTGTTGGCCAGATCCTACCTTCCCTGAGAGCATGAGGACACTTGCTGTAAAAATGAATTGGCTCCAGATATATGTTGGTAGAAAGGCTTTGTGATAGCATGTTCAGGGTTGGTTTATTGTAGCAACAATAGAGAGTTGTAACACTGGAACATTAAAGACTAACAAATTTATTCTGACATAAGGTGTCATGCACTTCATAATATTCTATGCATCAGGTGAAGTAGGCTGTATTCCATAAACGTTTATGATATAATAAATGTATTAATCCTTAAGATACCACAAGACTCTTTGTTGGTTTCTGATAGATGGCTACAATCCCATTTACCTGGGATTAAATCCCATTAAACTTGGAAGTAGGCATGAACAGACTTGCACAGTATCTTTCACCTCCTCTCTCCTTTCAATGGGCAGGTTGAATAAAATTTCCCTGTGCCTGACAGAAGATGAAGGCCAACAGGAGTGCTGTGTTTCTCCTGCTCACCCCATCCTTTCCCCGCACTCCCCTTGGCATATCGTGGTTGAGCAGTGTGCAGGTGCTGTGCTTGGTTGGTCTCCCTCAGAGACTGCATTGCACTTCCACCTCCTCAGATAGCATGCTGCTCTCCAGTGTCATAGTACATAGGAGTGTGGCAATAAATCAGTGCCTGACCCTTCCCAAGATACAGTTGGGGCTAGGAAAGTTGCACAGGGAAGACAGTGGGAAGGGATACCTCCCATCCCATTTTCTCCTTTCTCCTGGGAGGAGGCGGAATGGAGCTGAGGTGCAAAGGCATTCTGTTTGCCTTCTTCCCAGGGAAGCAAGATCAAGTGGCTGATTATTTTGCCACACTCTCCTGCCACCAACCTGACAGCTGGCTTCCAGCAAGCAGTCCTGCTTTCCCTCCTGCACTGGCAGCAGTCTGGGGGGAAATTGATGACAGCCATGCTTTGCAAGGTGCCATCAGTTAGGGACCCTTGGCCAGAGCCACAGTGCTTTTTTCTATTCTGGCCAATGTTTGAAGCTTAGCATATTGTTTGGTTTCCAACAGTAGATTATTGTATTATCCTACAGCAACCTATGTGTGACTGAAGTGCAAGTGCAGTATCAAGAACAGTGCTGGGTTCAAATGATTTGGGATATTGTGCCATCTGAACTCAGTCAATGTCTCTGAGTACCACCTGGTTCAGCTGTCACAGGTATGCTAATTTTCTAGCTGGTAGGCTGTGTTGTAGTTAAAATAAAGGCAGCTATTTCATAAAGATTTTAGTGCATTTACCTTATTCCTAATTTTGAGGACAGATTGAACAGCATGAGTATGTATGTTCCCAGACTCACCAATAATTAAGAATTAACACATCTTAACTCTTGCTGCTCCAAATTTTAACTTGCCTTCCCACAAAAAGGATAATATGACATAAGCTGGTCTGTACTGTCTAACTTACTGTTATTTTAGGTAGTATGCTATGATTTTACCTGGCTTCTTCTCACTCCCAGTAATGCTGGTATAGGCAGGCTAAGTAATATTCTTCTTTGGGCATCAATAATGTATTCAGAGTCTATTTGGCACATTGCACTTTAATGTACAGAGGGGTGGGGTGCATATTGAGACTTAATTTTGGACCTTGTTCTCCTGCTGTAGTTTCTCACACTTTTGACTAGAAGCATAAGCCATTATTCTGCCACCCATAAGTGCTTTTCAAGCTTCCCATTCAGTTGAACATGAGATTGTGGATCCTCCATTGAGGGTAAAGTAATTGCTCAGTGCAGAGGCAATTTGCATTTTGAACTCATCATTTAAGAGGGAGACACTAACTCTCCACACACTTGAGGGTTTACAGTGTGATCCTATATACAGATTTAAAAGAACCAGGGCATGGACTGAGATGGCTATTACACCTATGTAGCAGGCCTTGACATGCTGGAGGAGTGGGGAGAAGATTAGAAAATTGTCTAGATGAAAGACATTTTGGTGGACTAATACACAAAGGTGTAGTCCTTCTCAGTGGGATTTAGTTTGTGTTGTTGTTGTTAGTTGTGAAGTTGCATCTAACCCATTGCGACCCCATGGGCAACATTCCTCCAGGCCTTCCTGTCCTCCACCATCCCCCGGAGTCCACTCAAGCTCACACCAACTGCTTCAGTGACTCCATCTAGCCACCTCATTCTCTGCCGTCCCCCTTCTTCTTTTGGTATCAATTGTTCCCAGCATTAGGCTCTTCTCCAGGGAGTCCTTCCTTCTCATTAGGTGGCCAAAGTACTTGAGTTTCATCTTCAGTATATGGCCTTCTAAAGAGCAGTCAGGGTTGATCTCCTCTAGGGCTGACTGGTTTGATCGCCTTGCAGTCCAAGGGACTCGCAGGAGTCTCCTCCAGCTCCACAATTCAAAGGCCTCAATCCTTCGGTGCTCAGCCTTCCTTATGGTCCATCTTTCACAGCCATACATTGCAACTGGGAAAACCATAGCCTTGACTATATGCACTTTTGTTGGCAGGGTGATGTCTCTGCTTTTTAATATGCTGTCTAGATTTGCCATAGCTTTCCTCCCAAGGTGCAAGCGTCTTTTAATTTCTTGGCTGCAGTTCCCGTCTGTGGTGATCTTGGAGCCCAGGAAAATAAAATCTGTCACTACCACCATTTCTTCCCCATCTATTTGCCAGGAAGTGAGAGGACCGGATGCCAA